GGCGTTGCCGCGGGGTGGGCCCGGTGGCCGTGGTGGCGAGCAGCGGGGATTTCGGTGTGGCACAGCTGCTGTGAACGGAACTGGGAAGAAATTCGGTGCGCAGAGGAGCGAAGGGGTGGCGGATGTTACGGTTCCGCTTTTAAAAAATCTACTTTTAAGAGGGGTGGTGTGGGCTGTGCCCTCCCGAGCTTGCTGGGCTGGGCTCGGGCTGCCGGCGAGGCTCGCGGGTGGCTGTGGGAGCAGCTGCAGGGCTGCCAGAACATCGGCAGATCCCCCAGGTAGAGACCGCCGGCTCGCTGCAGCTCTGGGTTTGGTAGTTGTTTAGAAAGAACCCATATCAGCAGGAGCATAAATCAGCTTAGTCACGTCTGTATGGCTTCTAAATACATACATGTGTGCATGCCGGCAGTTACAAGTATTTCTGTGCATATATGTGTGCGTATCTACTTGTGAAATTTCCATTCTAGAAGCCACATCTGTTTTGGCATGAAATCTCCAGAAGAGATGCGTCAGCAAGCTCACATTCAAGTGGTCAGCAAAAACTTGTATAGTCAGGACAACCATCACTCTCCGCTGCAGTATGGAGTACTTGACCATCGCATGGTGAGAACCATTTGTTTTTCAGACCTTTTTTGTAGCATTACTTGAAGTTGTTAAAAACAAGTTGGGGTGATTGAAATTTACTGTTTATCCAAAATATTTGCAGATGTGTCATTACTTAAATTGCATAGGCTGTTAGCTGCAGTGGCTGCTAGTTCATGCTTTTGAATGGCTGATGAAAACTTTCTTTTGAGGCAAGAAATAAGTTCTTTCTGCCTAGTTGTTGGGACACCCAGAGATATCCAACTACAAATTGCCCCATTGTTGTTTAGTGGGCTGTAGATCAAGAGCTGTATGGGTCAATGTCACTGGTATCACTTAGGGGCTCTGTGTGAAGGACTTTTTTCTTATTAATGATTGTAGTGATTGCACTGCTACTGATATGCCTCTGATGCTGGGTAAAAAGGAGTGAGTCTGCTGTCAGGATAGCTGACTAGCTTCAGAACTGTTGTATTTTCTATGTAATCAATTGATTACAGTGATTTTTTTTGTGTGTGTGCATGTTTTCTCCCCTCAAAGGGCACCAGTGAAAAAGACCGACCTTGTGAAACGTGTGGAAAAAACCTAGCTGATTGTTTAGGACATTATGGGTACATTGACTTAGAACTGCCGTGTTTTCATGTTGGATACTTCAAAGCTGTCATAGGCATCTTACAGGTAAACACGATTATGATTTGTCATCAGTTTCAAGTTTAGGAAAGGAGATTATTAGAAAAGATAATGCTCAGAAGAGTAAATGAGAGAATCAAAATAAGGTTATATTATAGATTTTATCTTTATGCATCTTGTGTTCGGTAAAATAAATCTTTTTAAATACAAGTCTTAATGACATAAATACATGTGGTTTATTTTATATAATCTCAAGCTGATCAATGTAATCTATTATTTCTTTGTAGTAGTTTGAATTAAATGTGTGCAGTATAACTTGCCTCTTAAGGACATCCCAGTAAATCAAAGTTCTGTTTGCTTTGTATGGATTTTTAAGGTCCTGCAGAGCTTAGATGAGTATTTGCCTCAGTGACTATGTTGGTTTTTTTTTTCCCCCATGTACACTTTTTTGTGTGTTATAGCATATGAATGGGCCTTTCAGCCAAGACCATTGTATTTCATTAAAAAGCTGTTGAAGAATTTAAGTTATAGTAGAAGATGTTACAACTCTGTGTTTGTTAAACACCTGTGTTTGTACACATTCACATTTAAGATGATCTGCAAAACCTGTTGCCGTATCATGCTGTCAGTAGAAGAAAAAAAACAATTTTTGGATTACCTGAAACGACCTGGCCTTACATATCTTCAGAAGAGAGGGCTGAAGAAGAAAGTGTCTGAAAAGTGCAGAAAGAAAAACACTTGTCCTTACTGTGGTGCCTTTAACGGTGAGTGTGGGCATTAGCAAGTAGTTGTAGTTATCTACTACGATGGTTTTTACCTTGGCAGCTGTGGTGGGCATCAAAATCTTGAATATACTTATTTGTTCCGCAGCAAATGGGTGTTCTCTCTGGCCTTTATTAAGAATCAGGTAACTGCATTTGTAATGCCAGGCACATGCTTGCTCACATCTCATTCCTGTGGATAGAGATATTGTCCCAGTTGCTTGTTTTGTTTCACATGATATCTCCTCATGGCAGTAAACCGTATTTGGTACTTGAATAATGGTATAAAACCCCTTGGTTTTAACATGTGTTTTAAAATACTGGGAGCTGTTATCAATGATCAATACCTTAATATAGCAGTATTTGTAGACTTCAGTTTTGACTGAACTTCATTTTTCATTATTACAGGAAATAATTTTTCTTATTAATAGATGTGTTTTAATGTAAAACTTTATGGTTTTAAGTCATGAAAACTGTGGATTGTTTGCTGTAACAATCAACAGCCTGAATAAATAGACGGGTGCTTCATTTTTAAGTGCTGCATGTAGCACAAACAACAGGCATTTACCAAATGAAATGGTAGGTTCGCGTACTTAAGTAAAAATAATAGAGTTTGGAAAGCGCTTGTGCAAGTTCTGTGAAGTCTCATGAATCATGTTACCTAAGTGACATGAAAATAGTTGCCAGATTCTTTTTAAAATTCACTTCCAAAATTGATTTAGAAGATAATAGAATGATATATAAAGGGCACATCTTAGTCCTGGTTTTAGTGTGGGAACTTCTACTTAAAAAAAAATCTGCTGTGACTGGGGGGAAAGTGACTTGAAATCTGGGCTAAACCAGCTGCTTTCAGCTCCAGGAGCCTCATCATGATGTAGGCACACCCAGCCAACCATACAAGGAGGTGTGACCTGATTGTGCTTGTGTTATGTCAGTTTAAGTAATGGCTTAAAAAAGCTGATAAATTTCTATTTTGTTCTTGTGTTCACTGAATGTTTAACTAGTATTAGAACTGCAGCTTACTCCTTTTAAGTTTTGGGTTTGGCTTTTTTTTATTGTTTAGTGTTTTTGTTGTTGTTAAAAAAAAACCCCAAACATCTCTTCTTTTGCTTGCAGGAACTGTGAAGAAGTGTGGCTTGTTGAAAATAATACATGAAAAGTACAAGACCAATAAGAAAGTGGTAGATCCAATAGTATCTACTTTTCTCCAGTCCTTTGAAACTGCCATTGAACATAACAAAGAAGTAGAACCCTTACTGGGAAGAGCTCAGGTGAATTTTATTATGATTTGAATTTTCTGCTAGTTTTTCGGCTCAAAATAAAACTCCTCAAATGCTTTCAGTGTTGCAGCTTAAGGCTTGTGGTGACCCAAGATTTTTAGATTCCAAAAGACACTTGATTAATGTGAAAATGTGAAAATTGAGTGTATTAGTGTGTTCTGTTATGTAGTTTTCTGTCTGTAAAGAAATGGGGTACTCTTGGTGTATGAAACTTCCATAAGCTAGAAGAGGGAGAAGAAAGGCCCATACAAGCACTGCATGTACATGAAGATTTACTGTAGCTCTGAGATTATTATAGTACACAGATATTTTTTTTCTCTTCTTCCTTTGGAAGCACTTAATGTTGAGAAGGAGAGAGGAGACTTCATTATCTAAACTTTTTATTTCATTGAGCTGTACATTGTGTGCTGTTTTGTTTCCTTCTGCTTTTTGAAAGCTGGGAAGATCCTGGGGTACATATTTAGATGGAAGAAGAAACAAATACATGGAGTTTATTATACTGCAGCAGTAGCTGTACTATGAAGAGAGACATTTATTTTTTTTTTTAAATGTACAAATTAGTCCCTGTGAGTTTGTACCAATGCAGCAAAATCAGTGTACTGTAAGATTGTTGGAAGAGGTTTATTGAGTTGCTTGGGATACTCTCAGTTAACTGTTTCAAAAAAAGAGAGTAACATGGTGCAAAGTACACACTGATGTGTAAGGAAAAAAAAGAAAGAAAATAGCCACTTAGTACCTGAGATGCTAAAAGGTTTGGTTCAGAAAAAAACATAGTTTTGGTTGCATTAATAGTTATTATCAATTTGTATTTTTAAAATACTGTGGTTTTGAACAATCAGTGAATGTGGGGAGCATTGAAACTGTTACATGATGGCTTGTTCTCCCCATTCTCCGATGGAATTTGTAGGAAAACTTGAATCCATTAGTAGTATTGAACCTCTTTAAAAGAATCCCCGCAGAAGACATCCCTTTGCTTCTAATGAACCCAGAAGCCGGCAAACCTTCAGATTTGATCCTCACAAGACTCTTAGTGCCTCCACTGTGCATCAGACCCTCAGTTGTGAGTGACCTCAAGTCTGGCACCAACGAAGATGACTTGACAATGAAATTGACGGAGATCATTTTCCTCAATGATGTAATAAAAAAGGTGAGTCATCCTTCAAGCTTCCAGAGACTATTGCCTTCAGAAAGATTTGGCTAAAACTGAATATAGCAAGTGGTTTTACTTGTCTCACTGCCTGTAATTTAGCAAGCAGTCTGTACTATACTGCTATGCCATTTGGCATTTGATGGAAAGAAACAGATGAATTTGTTTCAGACAGAGCTCGCTGACGGGCTGCTTGCAGTATAGGACCTACTGAGATCTGCTGGTGGATCATGGGAAATGTTTTCTGTTTGAGGTCTTGTCTGTCAAATTTCCCCCTGCTCCACCTGGAGTATGACACTGTCTGAGTGGTCACTTACAATGAAAACACACCTACTGCGTTACTTGTTTTACCATGTAGACCTTTCTCTTCTTTCACTACATCTTGGTCTTCCATCTTAAGAAATCAGGTTTTAGTTAGCATGGTTATCAAATTGAGACCAGAAGTAAATTTGACAATTTATCATTTGTTTAGAAGAATGATTCTACCAGACTAATACTTTTCAGGCTTTTCAAGACTAGTCTTTTGTCAGGAAAACAAGATCAAGTGAGCACTAACTGTTCTGGGTTTGAAAATTATTAACTGTTGGTGATTTTTCTGTCTGTGAAGCTGTATTAGCTTAACTTCAGTGGCTTGGGAAAAATACATTTTAAACAAATACATAGTTTTATGAACATGTATTTAAAGCTCCTGCTAGTCAAAAGAAACCTTTTGCTGAGTTCTCTCGTGAATACCCTCATCCTATCGTAATGTGCATCCTGTTAAAAATTCATCTGCCCCCTCATTCCAATGTGTACGAATATTTTTTAACTTTATTTTTGAAAGAAGAGTTGTCCTCAGATCAAAAAAATTCCTTGCTAGTTTAGCATGTGGTGCTAGATTTATTTTCTGAACTAGATTACTGTTTTGTTTAGCATAGGATATCGGGAGCCAAAACACAGATGATCATGGAAGACTGGGACTTCCTTCAGCTGCAGTGTGCCCTGTACATCAACAGTGAGCTCTCGGGAATTCCTCTCAACATGGCACCTAAAAAATGGACCAGAGGTTTTGTTCAGAGACTTAAAGGAAAGCAAGGTTTGTCTAGAAAGTTGGCTTTAATTTTTTAATTAAGCAACAAGTATTTGGAGAGATCCAAAGCATCTCTCTGCTACTCTTGTGCAGTGCTTCAGTGATATACCTTGATAGATGTTTTGATGTGCTGTCTTAACAAAGTTGTTTTAATTGTTATCTGTTATGTAGAAGAGTGTTCACCTGCTTATTTTTTTCAGGTCGGTTTAGAGGCAATCTGTCTGGAAAGCGAGTGGATTTCTCTGGCAGAACTGTCATTTCACCTGATCCCAACTTAAGAATAGATGAAGTAGCAGTGCCTATTCATGTTGCTAAAATACTAACCTTTCCTGAAAAGGTAAGTCATGTAGAACCATAACCCTTCTATGCCCTTTTTTCCAAACAGACTTCAGTGTTGTCCTTCTTTATGGTCTTACTACAAAAAGGAATTAATGTGTCACGTTCATGTTTGAAATGTCATTTAATGAGCTTTGCCAGGTCCGTTGCTGCTGGGAAATGAAGGTTGTACAATCAGGTGTATGAGATATAGGCAAGTACTGTGAAGGCATATGCTGTAAGGAGTGACATGTCAAAAGAGAAGTTTTGCTTTATATTTTTTTGAACTCGCACCTAGCTTCACACGTTAGTGTATCTGTCTAAGGAGTGGTTGGGTGTTTTTATTTCTGAATTTATTTCCCAGATTTTTAATTTAATTTCACTCTGATTTTCTGCTCTGAGATTGGCTTATACTTTCTGCTTCTATTCCCTCCTGCCTGTTCTCTTTGGCAGCTGGAGGCTGTGAGGGGTATTGTCAGTTGGGTCTGAAACTTGAAAACACAAAAGCCACCAGCAAAAACAAGAGGTCCTGAAACATGTTTCATTTGTTTCTGATTGAAGTCTTTATGCAACAGGTGAACAAAGCGAATATTAATTTTATGAGGAAACTTGTCAGTAACGGTCCTGATGTTCATCCTGGAGCGAACTTCATACAGCAAAGGCACACACAGATGAAAAGGTATCATGCTTATCTGCAGTGATTCCCTTCTTCTCCCTGTCAGTTTATTCTTACAGTTGTGTGAAAACAGTTTTATCTACAGGGATTAAGATTTATTTTCAGAATTTTTCATAAAGGGCAGTAACAAAAAAGTCAATATCTGAAAAGAAACTCTACACTAAACCTGAGGAGATCATTTGTTGCCTTTAAACTGAAACCTACATTCTAATGATAGACAACTGCAATTAGTGTTGTTGTTGTTTTGTTTGGGGTTTTGTTTGTTTGTTTTTAATGACTGAGTCTTTCTTATTTGAAATAGAGGGTGTGGTAGAGACATAAATAGGAATAGGCAGTTTGGGGCATGTTGTCCTGGCTGTTTTCATGGAAGACCTAATCTGCAATAGGTTGATGGGTGATAACATATGAGTGAAATTCTCTACATTCCCTGACACAATTGAACCAAATTCTTTATGTTTGTAAGTAGACTTACTTGTTACTTGTTCCAATAACTGTAGTTGTGTTAGCTGATGTCACAAATAGATTATTTAAAATACCAGCAAGGCTGATGTTTACTCATGCAGTCCACACCAGTTTTGTCTTCTAGTTACTGTAATACAAACAATTCTGACAGTTAAGGCAAAAATTTGCATTATAAACTCAGAATTTATTTCTAGTTGTCTTTACATCTTTCTGACTATTTCTTCTGTCTCCGTTTCTTCTGTTCCCATTGTTAAGATTTTTAAAATACGGAAACCGAGAAAAGATGGCCCAAGAGCTGAAGTTCGGTGATATCGTGGAGCGACATCTTATAGACGGTGACATAGTCCTGTTCAACCGACAGCCCTCTCTTCATAAGCTGAGCATTATGGCTCACATTGTAAGTGCACACACAGCCTAACATACAGGTAGCGCATCCCTGACTATTAGGTGGTTTACTTTTGCTGGTGGTCCTGTTACACACACAAAAATAAACAGAATCTGATGAAACACTGTGTGGGGATGAGCATGAAGGCAGTGCAGTTCTGCCTTTGGATGGAAATTGATGTGTAACCAGGCAGCATGCTGTCCTGGGAATTCTGTTAATAGTCATAATTGCCCTTTTGCGTAAGCATTTCATTTCTGTATGGTTGATGTGATCTCTACAGACTGCCCTGTGTTCTGTGCTTTATATAAATTCTTCTTAGTGGCAGTTATTGCTACATTTGTGTAATATAACCTGAGTACTATTTCTGTCAGTTCCTGGTTGAGTTACATCCTATAATGAGAAGTTTTGACTGATGTCTGTTATAAAAAGGATAAAGCCTGCAAGGAAGCACTTGTAGCATCTTTTAGCACGGGTCACTGCATGTGTATCACTTCTTTTTGTTTTTCAGGCTAGAGTAAAACCTCACAGGACGTTCAGATTTAATGAATGTGTCTGTACACCATACAATGCAGACTTTGATGGAGATGAGATGAACCTTCATCTTCCTCAGACAGAAGAAGCAAAAGCAGAAGCACTTGTTTTAATGGGGGTATGTAGATAACGTTAGGGTTGAGAGTTTGCTGGTAACAAATGGTCTGAGCCATGTATTTCTTAAGATGTCTGGGTATGGATAATGTGTGACTCTGAAGCTGCCCGAGAACTCTGCAAAGGGAGAATTTTGAAAAAATTATGGCTGTTACACAATGGTAGTCTAAGACTTGTATTTAGCATCTGTGGAAAACTCAGTGATTTCAAGTAAGTGAATGTCATTATTATGTTTCTGCCTGATTTGGTGATTGCTACCAAAATAGGGTTACTCTGTAACCAAACTTAAACTTACTTGGCTTTTTGGTCTGACCACCTAGCAATTGCAGGTGGTCAGGCTAACTGGAATTAGCAGCAATAGTGTGCTTGTACCAGAGAAGGCAGGAGACAGTTTGCACTTAGGGCAGGGGAAAAAAGGTAGAAGGGAGTGTAGATAGAGGGTTCTGATCGTTGCAGCCATTGATAGCTGGTGTGACTCTGTAGAGTCAGTAGCAGCTATCAGGATTTTCTAGTACATTCCTCCTTTACAAAGATTGAATGCCACTGCTACTTCAGATGTACAAACACAGCTGTGGGCTGCAGCATGTATTGGCTTACTAAACTGTTATAGGAGCTCAAAAAAAACCCTACAAACCACCCCCCACTTCCCCCACCACCCAAAATGTGTGATTCAGGTTAGTGTGCACCTGTGAACAGTTCAGGCAAAACTGTGCTGCATAGGAGGGAGTGATTAACTGGGGGAATATTAGAGTAAGACATAAGAAATGGGGCTAGTGGAAGTGGCCAGTTCATTACAGGAGGCATTCTTTTCCCTAGCTCCCTGTACTGAGCATAACCTCTTTAGTCCCTTTGCAGGTTCTCAAAGCTAGTTTGTGTTCCCTTCCCTGTCCCATTTGAACAGTAACTTACAAACCACATTGAGTTGATGGCAACTTCTGCTTTGAAACAGTATGTGTGATTTCCAGAAACTATTCCCAAATGATTCCTTATTTGTCAACAGATCTGCATGGACTGTAGTGAACTGAAACTTTTAGTTTATTTTTTGTATCTTTTTACCATTTTTGCTAAAATAACTGGCTTAAATGGTAAGTTTCCTTCTGAATAACAGATGGAGTAGCAGTGTTTTCAAATGTGCATGTTTTCTTGTTTTTTGTATCATAGACTAAAGCAAACTTGGTAACGCCAAGAAATGGAGAACCCCTCATTGCTGCTATTCAAGATTTCCTCACAGGTGTGTATAAAAGCTTATTTCAGAGCTGTGTAATTTAACAGTTTTTCCTTCAGAATCATTTCCCTCTTCTCCAGAATTTTTCTTTATTAATTAAAAATCTTCTCCTTTCAAAAGCCAAAGTGACGTTATGGAATTAAGGCCACTGTTAGTCTGAAATGTAATGGTGTCCTCAGAATCTCTTCTGCTACTATCAGCCTTTGTAGGTGCAATTATTACTACCTTGCGTATGTTTTATACTGTTTCTCCAGCAGAGAAAATGAATGTATGGGATTTTGTACAAGTTAGGTGGATCATAAAAACTGCTTGTAATCATGGTAGAGGAGTTGAATTAATTAGTCAAAAATTAGTTTTAACCTACAGACTATCCTTCTACATTTAAACTCATTTTAGTCTCTCACAATAATTTTTACTTTTTAGGTGCTTATCTTCTTACATTAAAAGATACCTTTTTTGATCGAGCCAAAGCCTGTCAAATTATTGCTTCTATCCTGGTTGGCAAGGATGAAAAGATTAAAGTTCGTCTTCCACCTCCAGCAATTCTGAAGGTGTGTCAGACAATTTTTTTTTACCCTTACTGAGACTTGTTATGTGTCCTCGACCCCTCGCGATGTTCTTGGCAGAGACAGTTTGTGTTTACTTTGACATTAGTTTTGTATGTTCCTTTTATATTTGTAAAGTGCAAGGATCATAATTCATGGTCACAGTTGTGCAGGAGTTGCTTGATGGTCCCTGATGCTGAACAGTCAACCTTGCATGCTGCAGTCCAGATGCAGAATTCCTTCAGAGTTCAGACATAGCTTTGCTACTGTCCTGCTGCTGTGAGACAGAACACTTGGCTGTTAGGTTTTTTTGTGGCATCATGAACACAAAATATTTATTCTGAAGGGCAGAGTATTTGTGTATTTGTTAGAAGCTTGGAAGATGTCATAGGTTAGGGTCTGTTATGCCTTCTTATATGTTTAAGGGTATCTGTATTTGATTAATTCTGTATTTGAGGCAAACAGTATTGTTTGGAGAGAGCTTGGTATGTTTTCAAATTTGTTAAATACACAGTAAGTAGTGGTGTATATGCTTTCTTATGCCATTAATTTCAAAATAATTAATGCAGTAGTAGGGAAATTCAGAAAGTGAAATTGAAAAACCAATTAATAATACTAATTTAAAGTAAGGTTAGAGCATTTATAGGCAATATCTAATGTGAATTTTATAATTTAACCACCTAAAAATTTAAACCAAAGGCACTATATACAGAAGGAATTATAATTGTTGCAACCTCTTTGGAAAATGAAATGGCAGCGGCATTTTGGTTTTTCCTGCTGTAATCAGAAAGGGAAACATGACAGTAAGAGGGAGCAATACAGCATGTTAAATGCACACACATACCCTTACGTAAAGTATAACCATTCAGCGGTCAGCATCTTTATATCTGTAGAAGTGCAGAGTAGTTCCCAATTAAAGGAATACTACTACACGCTTTTACAAGTAGAGTTCAGTATAGAAACGTTCTGTGTATAAAACAATTCTGCAACTGAATTCTTGCTTGCTGTTTTACTGTAGTGTAACGTAAATTCTCTAACTCTAACTCTTGTCTTTTTTTTTCTCTAAGCCTGTAACACTCTGGACAGGAAAACAGGTTTTCAGCCTCATCCTCAAACCCAGTGATGATTGTCCTGTAAAAGCTAATCTACGAACCAAGGGCAAGCAGTATTGCGGCAGAGGGGAAGACCTGTGTTACAATGACTCTTGTGAGTGACACTTCTAAAGCTGTGGTTTGGACGTCTTCGAAGAAACTGTAGCTATTGCTTTGTTGAGTTTGTTGCTGTGGAGCTCACTGTAGGAGTTAAAGCAGTACTTTGCATAAGTATTCTTTAAATGAAAACTAAAATTATGCTGTTCTTCTCAAATGTTCAAGTTATGCTGAACACCAAAGAAAAGAGTGTTTCCTTGTAGTAACATTTCGGTTGCATGATGCTACGCTTGTTGTAACGTTGTATTTGAAGGTGAGAGAGAGGTAAAAGCAAGGAAGCTTAGAAGCAGTTGTGCAGAGGGCACATGGGAAAAAAATATCTTAAATGGGGGTGATGATAGAGGGATGTGAAGTCAAAATGTAAAAGGACTTACGATGCATAGGAAAGATAGGAATCCCTAGGGCATCAAACCATCTGTATCCTTCCCGGTAGTGAAGACAGAGTGGCAGATGGAATGCAAGGCGTCTGGCTTGAAGAGGCTGTAGGAGGTGAGCAAGGCTTTGCTTATTATTCATTTAACATTCATGTGGTGACAGCTGGAAAAGAACTTCAGCAAACAGGATTAGCTTGGCTCCTTGTTGCTCAGAAGTGTGAACTAAGGAACCTGTGGAGGAACCCTTGATTTTTAGTAATTCTGTCATAAGATGTTGATGTGAGAGAGAAATTATCAATTAGGACTCAAATCCACTCTGCACCAGACTCTGAGCTATTTCTTTAGAAGACAGGACCTCTCTGTGGCTGTGAAGTTGGTTATAAACATGGTGCCACAATTTGTTTCAGCCTCTAAGGAATATGGGATGAAAGGCAACAAAGCACTCTTGCTCCCACTCATGTGAACATAGGCCATCTTCTTTGCTTTGTAGTCTTTTCATTTTAGAAAATGGAAATTCTTCCCATACTTCTGAGTTTGACAGCAACAGATAATGTGGAAACCTTTTGGATTTTGTTGGTGGCTCTGTTCAGTTCTCTAAAAAACTTCCTTACTGAAGCAACACTAATTTTCTACAGAAAGTTCTTTGCAAATTCTCCAAAGCCTCAAGAAATCCTGGTATCATATTTTGATTTTATATAATAAGTGGTTGAGCAGTACTTCTGGTTCAGGAAGATTACCTAAATTCATGTCAAAAATATTGAACACAGAGTACAGCGCAAAAATCTACACTGTTGTGTATAAAATTACTTAAATTGGACTCATCTACATATGCCAGTTCTTCTTTGAAAGATACATAATGAAGTTGAGGATGAACATATGTTGTACTACTCTCATAGGAAATATGACTACATTTCATGTACAGAAGACAGTTTGCAATTGTTTAAAGGCTAAAACTTACAAGGAAGATTCATTGCCTGAAATGGAAGCTTCCTGATGCAGCAAAAGGAAGTCATCTGAAAGAGGCGGTGTGTGTAGGCCTACAGGCAAGATGGGTGTCTTCATGGTATGCTTGTAACTAAAGAGACATCCGAGTCCACTCTGTCTTCTACATTTAAGCTCTGCCTCCAGGAGTGATGGAGTTGAACTGAGTGTCAGAATCTTTGAATAAGAGAGCTGTAACTTCGCTTCTGAAATCTTGTTGCTCTACTTCATAAGTAAATAAATATGCATGATTGAGGACTTAATTTCTGGACAGATAAACTTGATTGAAGACTTAATTCTGATTAATGAATCCAAGCTTACCTTTAAATTTTTATCAGAAAGGATTATTCACAATGTTTCTCACAAGTCTTAATCTGGATAAAGTTGACTTTCTAAGGAGGAAGGGAAACAAAATTTAACAGCAGTTTGAGTAAGGTCAGGTTGTACACCGTTCCCCCTACATACTTGCTCATGCTCTTCTGCAGACACATTAAATACATGTCTTCTGCGTTTTGTTCTTTCCATGAACAGAGCTTTCGTTTGAAAACCTGCTCCATAACCGATTACTGGCATTTAGGTAGTGTTTTAGAAAAATGACAAAATCCTTTTGCCTTTTTATTTCTAGATGTCACAATTCAAAACAGTGAGTTAATGAGTGGCAGCATGGACAAAGGAACCTTAGGTTCAGGATCCAAGAACAACATCTTCTACATCTTACTGAGAGACTGGGGACAGGTAGAAGCTGCAGATGCCATGTCACGACTTGCCAGACTTGCTCCCGTCTATCTCTGTAAGTAATTTCCTTGTAAAATAGTACCTTAATGCAGAAATACGGAACAGTCAAGCAAGACTTTCCTTCAAATAGGATGTACTGTGCTTAAGAATAAGCTAGTTGTGATGCCAACAGAGGCTGGGAAACAGCTGATTGTGCTTATGATGGTCACATGATGGGAGGAAAAAATTAATTTCCTGATGATAATCCTTCCTGGGTTTAATTTGTTTTCTCTACATGAGACTGAGCTATCAATATTGGGTTTTGTTTTTAATACTAGCTAATCGTGGCTTTTCAATTGGAATTGGTGATGTAACTCCTGGGCAGGGCCTGCTAAAAGCGAAGTATGAGCTCCTGAATGCTGGCTATAAGAAATGTGATGAGTATATTGAAGCTCTGAACACTGGCAAGCTACAACAGCAGCCTGGATGTACTGCAGAAGAGACACTAGAGGTAAACCTTTTACTTGAAATTGTTATATATTTAGATTAGAGGCTTCGTGAATGTACTAAAAGTTCAAAGTTGTTTTCTGAAACCTAAATTGTGAGCAAGTAGGGTCCCTAGGTACACAGCTTGAGCTGAGTCTGTCTGGGCTTAACACTTAGATGTAGGCATCCAAAAACGTTACCTAATACTAAACAACAGAGCACCTCACTCCCTCCTGCCTGGTTGTATTGGGGTAGCACACAAGAGAGGAAAATTACGCAGGTAATTGGAATGGTGTTAATTACATTTCTCAATATTTGCTAAGTTAATAAAGAACAGTAACAGCCAAGACCCTAATCCAAAAAGCAGAACATTGCCTTACTTACAGTTCTTTTTATAGGCAAGTGTTTCCTTGCCCCTTATTGGGGTAAAAAGTATGTCAACTTGGTTTACACCGGTCTTATCTCTTTTCTGTAAAGATTTTGATGAAGAGCAATGATTGTTGCCTGAAAGCTTTTGGACAGGGACTTAATGAAATCGACTGAAGAACACTGTTTTTATTGTCTTCAATGGTTTTACGCCTGTGGCGTCTTGGCAAGTCAATGTCTAGTTTTAACCTTAAAAAAAAAAATAAACAAAAAAGAAAAAGAAAACAAAGAAAAGAACACAAAAGAGCCAGAAATCCCCACCGTATTACAAAGTACTGCCATGGTTATCCAGTTTGAAGTGGTACTTGACTGAAAGAAGGGTCTTGGAGTCTTTTCCACTCTTTGTCTTTTCGGACACCTGTGTATGTCTTACGATTCTTTGTGATACATTTGTTATGTTCTTAACAATTGTAAATATCAGCATTGTACTCTCTGAAAGCAGTTCAAAACTAGATTTTTGGTGGTAATCTTTCATGTAGTGCAGCGAGATGTACAGCTTAGTTCAATGCTCAGTTAAGCTTAAGTTGGTGCTACTGACAAAAGAGGTGGACATGTCCCTGACCACCCCTTTCTTAACCCAACAAAGACTTTGTGCAGCAAACTGGGCAGTTATGCAAGTTTAAATTTAAGCTTGTTTAACCCAAAGAAACATATAGGGTTTTATCTCGTTTCTTTTTCTTTTTTCTTCTTGACTACTGAAGGTATTGCTAGCAAGTGACAGAGTATGGTTTGTGTATGGTATTTTTAACAAATGCTGAATCTCTGAATTTTTCAATTTCAGGCCTTAATCCTTAAAGAGCTGTCTGTTATCAGAGATCACGCTGGCAGCGCCTGTCTCAGAGAACTGGACAAGAGCAACAGTCCCCTTATCATGGCCCTCTGTGGTTCTAAAGGTAGGGACAACTAAGCTTTGGAAGTAGATGGCTTCACTTTCAAAATATATTAAGTAGTACATTAAGAATTGGAAGTAAAATTTCAGCCATCTTCACTGCTTTGTTTCTGAAGGACCAGCTGTGTAGTAAGTATTTGTTTTATACTCAGATTCTTTTCTGAGTTTTCCTTTCTTTCCTATGAGAATCTGAAGAAATTACTTCAGTCTCCCTTTATTTACCTGTCTCTAATAAATTATGGAAAGCCTCGTGGTGACATTTTGTATTTCTAAAGAAATGATGTAATCTAAGAAGGATTTATTAAGTGTTTTGGGGACGGGAGGGATTGCTTGCAAACATCTTCAGCAAATAGAACTTCTGAGTTAGTGACTTAAATCTATGGTACTTAATTTGTTCTAGAAGTCTTGGTAGACACTAAACCCATCATATAACCTATTGCTAAAACACACTTATTGAAGAATTTGTGAAGCAAAATATGTAGGTTAGGGATGTGGGTTGTGTAAAACACAATCCATAATATGAAACAGGATAATATAAGGACTGTGTCTGGATAGTAGTGGTATGATTGTCAGCCAAAAAGAAAATACAAGTTGTTAGCTATATTGTAGACCTCACTGTCAGTCTTTGCATAAATGCCAAGATGAACAGGACACGTAACAGAAAAGCTTTTTGAACTGTTGCAATTCTAGTTGCATTTTCGATGAATTAGGAAGCTACATAATAGATCTGCGTAGAAATGGAGTCAGCAGCACAGCCCTGATATTCCTCAGTTGTGAAAGATTCTTTTTTTTCCTTTCTTTTCAGGTTCCTTCATTAATATATCCCAGATGATTGCTTGTGTAGGTCAGCAGGCTATCAGTGGGTCCCGAGTCCCTGATGGATTTGAGAACAGATCCTTGCCTCACTTTGAGAAGCATTCTAAGGTAATTCTGTATGTTTACAATACACTGTAAATAAAAGTGACACAAGTTGCCTTGAGCATTCTAAGGACACGTGATAAGATGTCCTGGCATGACATGGTGAAGGAAAAGGGTCATATACAGTGATTGTGAAACGTTTTGAATGTCATTTGGGTGTTAACGGTAGTTATGTAAATTGCCTTAGGATGTCTAGTGAGCTTGAATTTTTACAGCTAAGCCTTGCTTAGACCTTTCTAATTCAGTAAAATTAACATAAGTCTGATGATACATTTTTGGCTCTCTTGAGAGTCCTGAAAATAATTTGTTAAAGTCCGTTTCACTGCACTAAGATTTTTCAGGACAGTGCTAGGGGTGTGTTGGTATCTTTGGACAGGTGAAACGTGCCAGATAAACCTTTCCGAAGGCTGGTTGGTTGTTTTTCTAGGTTTGGGGATTTTTCCCTATAGGGGAGGATATCATGGGCTAATTGTATGTTGTGTGTTTTGAGTTTTGTTCTGTGGGAAACAATAAGGAGTCTCATGCACTTGTTAATACAAGTCAGTGAGATTGATATTTTTATAAACTGCTGTCTGAAATCTCATGATCAGTAGAGAGGTTCTGGGTACCAGCCGTCGATCTTGTCAGTGTGTAAGTCAGAACTCAAGTGTCAGATGGTAGCCATTACACTTCCATTTGCCAGTAAATGTCCAAATTCCAACGTCTGAGTTCTGTGATATAAAACACTTTCTTTCCTGAATAAATTGAACAAGAAAAAAATACTTTCCAGATTAGATGAGAAGGAAAAAGTTAAATTTTAACTCTAGGTTTTTTTAATCATTTAGAAAGCTCTACCTCTTAAATAACAGCAGAATGTGGTCTTCTAAGATGAATCTCTTCATAGCCTGTACATTTTATTATGTGATCATGGAAGCAGTTTGGTTATATTTGACTTAGAGATGACTGCATAGAGTTCATGAGCAAGAACTTTGCTCAGACGTGAGAGCAAACCATTTGAAAGAATGTTAGGTACATACCTGCAGTCTTTTTATTTTGTGGATTCCTTAGTCTTCAGCACTGCAAATAACTTTGCCATTCTACTGGAATGTTAACAGTCTTATTGCCCCTTTAACATTTGCAACTTTAAGGGCGGCAGAAGTTTTTGAAGTTGGTATGGTGTTTGCAAGGAATGGCTGGAAGCATGACAAGGCTTGTAGAAGGAGAAAGGAAGTTTATTAGTCTGGAAGAACTAGGCAAGGGTTTTGAATCATAGAATCACCGATTTGGTTTGGGTTGGAAGGGACCTTAAAGACCATCTAGTTCCACCCCCCCTGCAATGGGCAGGGACACCTTCCACTAGACCAGGTTGCTCAAAGCCTCATCCAGCCTGGCCTTGAACACTTCCAGGGATGGGGCATCCACAGCTTCTCTGGGCAACCTGTTCCAGTGCCTCACCACCCTCTCCGGGAAGAATTTCTTCCTGATTATCTAATCTAAACCTCCCCGCTTTCAATTTAAACCTGTTTTGAAGCCTTACTCAGATTTAAAATACAAACACTGAACTTCAAAGCTAAATGCAGCTGACACAATTGCTCTGTGTTTGTGTATGTATCAGCTATGTGAAAGAATTTAGGTGACATACAACGTGTTTCTCTGTAACATGCATGCAGAATGTACATCGCACTTTAACCTTTTTTCCCTCCACTCTTCTCTGTAGCTCCCAGCAGCAAAAGGCTTTGTTGCTAATAGCTTCTATTCTGGGCTGACTCCAACTGAATTTTTCTTTCATACAATGGCTGGTCGAGAAGGTCTGGTTGACACGGCTGTAAAAACGGCCGAAACGGGATATATGCAGGTAACTGTCAGTGGAGTGGCAGTCTTGTCAGTCTTGCAAAACGAGAGTATTTCTTAGGTGTATATTGAGGTGAGGGGTGGGAAAGAAGTGCGTATGTTACTTGTGTGTTCTTAAAATAATAGTCATTCATACTGTGAAATACATGACTGCTCTGGTCTCCAGTAGGTGTGAGGTTTGCAAACGAGACCTCAAGCAATGCTACACTAACATGCTTGTATTAAGCTGTTTCCTCTTGAATGTGTGTGGTAAAGGGGCTCATTTTATGGAATTATTGATGACTACTTTGCATGTAGTGTGTGTTCCTAAAACCTTTGTGAAGGATATAAGTTTTTTCCATACATTATACCATGGATCTGAGTTGTGAGTGCCTTTTCCAATACGGTATTTCAACAATGAGAAACAGAAAACAAAAACACTTGGTTTGGGTTGCTTAAAAAACGATTGCCTGGGTGACAGAAATAGGGCTAAAGCTCCCTTTGAGTATTTGTCGTATTTAGGTAACTGGCACCTTGGCCTTTGAGACTTAAAGTTTTGTAGGGTGTTAATGTCTTTGAGTGTATCTCATGGGAAAACAAATGTGCCTGCAACAAAGCTGCTTGCGATTATGAGCAGTCTTAAGACTTCAGTGAAAATAGTTAAGTAATATGTTAAGGTTAGTCCTCTTCCCAGTGTAACAGGCAGTAGAAAAGCCAAGATAATTTGGAACTGGGAACGTGTTCAGAGATATACGCAAGTAACTCAACCAAAGCTGAAAACAGTTCCTTATAGGATGGATGACTAATTAGACCATCTGTTTCCCAAGCGAACAGAATAATGTTTGCTTTTGTATAAGTAAATACAAATATATATAAATATAATAAGTGACTTGCAAAACATTTTTTCCTCATCCAAGTTTACCCAATATAAATTCAGAGTCCAAGACCTACAATTCTTTTTTTTAAAAAAAAAGAAAATTAACACTTATTTCATCTTACCTTTTTCCTTCTCTGTGGAAAAAGGAGTTACCCATTTATATTTAGTGAGCTAATTTACTTTCATAGAACTATGAAGCCCATCTTTGAGGTAACAAATGTTTTTAACCATTCATGCTTCGTAGCATGACTACTTCTGTGGAGGTAGAGGAAGGAAGTTGGTAATAAAGGGATTTCCCAGTACAGTGAATTCAGGTAAGAGAAGTAGCTAATACTGGTTGAAAAATAGCACCTACTGGCTTTGATGGACAGGCCTTTAGGTTTTTGTCAGTGAAAATAATCGTTGTCTGGTTTTGCTTTCATACAGTGTTGTATGCCTTGAGAAATAAATCTGATTGGAAGAATATGAATATTCTGTCAAAAAAACCCAAATTCCTCAGACTATAATAGGTCCTCACAGCTTAGCATTAGGTTTCCTATATGGTGGACTACCTAAATGTGGAGAATTGTGTTGTTGTTTTGAATTTGTTATTACTGGCTTTCCTATTCTGGGGAATGTGCAGTGAAGCCCTAGGGATAATGTATGACTTAAAATAGGTATTCATGCCTGCTAATCACTGTGTTAGATTTATTTGCTGAGTCTAGTTTCTAGACTTTTTGTAATCCCAATCCATAGCTGTTTTTAAAAAGGACACATTTACTTCCCCCCACTCTTTCAGAGGCGGCTGGTTAAATCACTTGAAGATCTTTGCTCGCAGTATGATTTAACAGTCAGAAGTTCTACTGGTGACATTATACAGTTTATTTATGGAGGAGATGGCTTGGATCCTGCAGCCATGGAAGGGAAGGATGAACCCCTGGAATTCAAGCGAGTTCTAGACAATATCAGAGTAAGGACTACTGAAATCTTTGTTGGAAGTATGAAAAGATTATTAATCGTGTAGGAGGAAGTAATAAATTATGGGGATAATTGTTTCAGTTGAAGAATTTATGTTTGAAAAAAAACATACACCCCCCTCACACACAGCCCGCCCCCCTCCCCGAAGATAAAAGCCTTTTACTGAAATAACTTCAAATTTATGTGAGTGTAATAAATGGATAGAATTAGAAATGTGTGTGTATGCCTTCACATTTGCGTAAGTAAGCAGAAGTGTATGTAGACCATCTCTTCAAATTGTTTGATATTATATAGTAAAAACAACCACCCCCACGGTCCCCGAAACTAAAGAATGCTGTTAATCAATTCCATGTATTTAAGTTCTATGTCTTTACAATGAAGCTTTTGTGCATATGTTTTATGTTAAGAAGTAATTTTTTCCTCTTAAGGCTGTGTATCCATGCCGAAGTGAGCCAGCCCTTAGTAAAAACGAATTGGTGTTAACGTCCGAGTCCATCATGAAGAAGAATGAATTTCTTTGCTGCCGAGACAGTTTTCTACAGGTAACTATCTCACTTCCTTTATATACAGTTTAGCTTTTGCTTGTAAATCAGGGAAATAAAAGAAAGTAAGATGTTTTTAATTAATTTTACATATTAGTAGCCAGAGTAGTAGTTTGTTTTCTGTACATTTTAGGAGGTGGGGAGGTAGGACGAGTAATTCTAATTCTTACTGTAGTAGTTGTTCACATTCACCACAGGAACTCTACTGGTTTTTTTTTTTTTTGAGTAGAATATGCTGGTGATCTGAGATCTTTCTGGAATCTCTCTCCATAGCAAGATGGTACAGTATTTATGTGCTTCCTCTGGGATGTCAGAAATTAAATAATACTCATTGACTCTTTGTAGGGAACCACTTGGCCTGGTGCGATACTCCATTACTATGCATATGTTTCAAAATTACCACCTTTCTGAATAACTGTTTTCACTCATTTTCTTGTTTTTCCTGTAATAGAAGCACCAGCTATCCACTTAGACTTTGTTACCTTGCTTTCCTATGATACTAACCCAGCAAAAAACTCCTGTCATATGAAGTGGTTTGCTTGAGAGGGCTTACCTTCTGGGGAGTACTTAGGTGTCTTTTAAAGATAAATGAATGTTCACATGGCTTCTTGCTCTTTGAAATGTAAAAGTCCATTTGTTTGAAAGAGCATTAAGCGATTTTAATATCTAAGAGAGCAGCCACACTTTAGGGTACTTTAGACAACAGTGATAAAAACTTAAGAATTAAACTGCCTGTGGACACATAAAGCTGTCACCTTGATGAATCTTCTGATTACTGGTAGTGATGGGAATAACATGAATTTAGTGACCTGCTTTTGAAGGGGTTTTTTTTTAATAGATCAGAGTGCTTCAGAGCAGAACGTGACACAATTAGTAAGCAGTTGTTTAAGATACAATTAGTAAGTTGCCTGATTGGCAGTTTGTTACTGGAGTAGAACTCAAAGTATTTATGTCTGTACATGAAATATGCTGTAAATCTTAACTGCACTTCTGAGGCAAAAAATGTGCAATATACTAATATCAGAGTTTGGAGATAAAGCTGTACTTTGAGGTGTATATCTTTTTAATCATATCAGGAAAAGCTAAATAATTGCTATTAATTTCAGAAGCACAGATATGGCTACCTCACCTTACTGTAGTTTAACTTAAGATTTTAAAGTTTTAGATACTGTTACATTTTCTTCTTTCCTTTTCTTTTTTTTTCTGTTCATCCTTGAAGACATTAACTGAGACAGGTTATGAAAAATATAATGAGGTAATTGTAGCATGTGTGTGCGCTGTGTGAGCATTAATCTTAGTGCTTTTTAGCTTAAGATGTGTGTATAGTGCTGAAGTAACTGATTAGCAGATATACATTACTGCTTGTTAAATTATAATGTGGGTGTTGATCACAAGAATTTACGCAATTTCTTTTTAGTAGTGAAAACCATGAGACATGAATCAATCCCCATAATTAAATTTGAGGATTTGAGGAAGCTTTCTTTCAGTACATGACTTTGCTTTCTAAAAGTCATTCTTTCAACTTTTAGGGCTATTAGTGTGTTTTTCTGATGTTTTCCTCTCCCTTCTTCCACTGTTCCCTTCTAGAACAGAAGTATTGCTGTTATTTAACTAGGTGGTTCCTGTAATGGGCTTATCCATTCTTGTCCAGAAAGCAGTAGGTCTAAAGAGTCTTTTTCACAGACTAGTGTTTGTTCTGCCTGCCCTAACTGAGAGGAATTCAGCTGGTGAAAAGACAGATTGTTGGGTGGCACTGTTTCTGTCGTGCTTATATTTTGATGTGTTTGAGTATATTAAGATGCAGATGAAGAGAAATTTTTGTTTTCTTCCTACTGAAATTAGGAAAAATCTTCAGAAACCCTCACAATTAAAAAAAAAAATAATCTTTTGTTTTCTGTGTTCTTTTGGAGATGGTAGAATAGAAGTACTAGGGAGTGTGGTGCAAACCTGGAAAGGGCTCAGCGCGCAGCCAGTCGGTGCTGGCATACGTAGATCTGACCTAATCTTGTGGGATTGTCTGTAGCACTCTGCATTTCAGTGGGCTTCTTAACTGTGAGGATTCTTAGCAGTGCTTCACATAAGCCAACGATCTCACTAGCTTGGCTGGGAAACACGAGGCAGACACCTGAGTGACCAGGCTTCATGCCCTGGACTGCTGTTTTGACTAAACGTTGGCTCTGTAGGAGCTGACAAGGCCCATGTTGAGCCAGAGCATACTGAGCCCATTTGGTTCCATATTGTTAATTATCTTTAGACTAAAAGACTTCACAGAGTGTGTGAAAGAACCAACAGTTTCTTGAGCTCGTTCTGGAACTTACATAGCTGTGCTCACAGAGGACAGTGTTGCACTGAAGATGATGAAGCTGTATAGGCAGAAAGGCTCAGCGATGAGTGAGCTACATTTTCTTTCTATTTGTAGCATAAATCTCTACAGAGATTTATATTTATTTCTCACCTTTCTTTTTTGACTCTAGTGCATGGAAATAATGTATCATTTGAGTACCTTGGTTTTACATTTCAGAACTATATATATCAATTTTTTTCATAGAATCATAGAATG